AAAAAAAAAAAAAAAAAAAAAAAAGGGAAGAACTATTCTGGCCTTCTACAACTCAGTACATAGAAGAACCCAGGACCCAAGACTTAAGACCACCTGCCACACAGGCCTGCTCCTGCAACCCTAATACAAATCTGGCTGTCTTTGTTCCCATGGGAATGAATGCCCGTTGCATTTCAAGGGGCAACAAGCTGGACTGTAGACTCCTCAGTGACTGGAAGACACAGGGCTTGACAGACCATGGCTTCCCTCCATGTGGCCAACACCACTCTTCCAACTCATTCCTGTTTTATACGCCAAGGCCCACCCACAGCCCTCCAGAACAGCGCCAGTCTGGGGCTGGACACCCCGGCCAGCAGTTGGAGAGCCCCGCTGTGCCTCCGCATGCCTCATGGAAGGGGCTCACCTGACCGTTTGAACCTCAGCGGCCCTGGCCCGCCACTGCGCAAAGGGCCAGCTTCCTCGCACTGTTGGGACTCCTCTCTGAGACAGCGCGCACCTGGACAGGGGGCTGCAGGCGAGTTTTGCTAGGGGCTAGGAAACTCGGCCATCGCGGACTGTCGGCCACCTCACTCACCACAGAAGTTAAAGTTGGGCCCCGCAGCAGCTCCTCGCGGCCACATGCGGGGAGTGGGAGCCCCGAGGTCCGGCGCACCTGGCTAGCGCCGGGTGTCGTAGGGCGTCCAGCCAGCCCCGACCCCTCTCCCTCGGGGGGTCGCCCTCCTGTGTGTGTCTCGGTCCCCGCTCCACGTACTGCTAGAGCCGGCGGGCCGGGGAGCAGAGATCGCGCGCGCAGTGCCGCCGCCACTCACCTCTGCCAGCTTCCCGCGGTTGCGGGGCCGGAGTTTGCCGCCCCGCAGCTTCTTCATGGGGAGCCCTCGCGCGGCGGCCAGCAGCGCCGCCAGCAGCAACACGCAGAGGAGGAGCCCAGCTCGGCCGCGGAGCGCACGCATCTTGTCGGTCCCGAGGGAGCTCTGCCGGAGCCTCTGCCCGCGGTCGCGAACCCAGTCGCGCCCCGCCTCGCCTCCTCCGGGGGCGGGACCGTGGGGGCTGCGGCTCAGGCCAGGCCCCCTCGAGCGCCCGGGTACCCTGATGGGCGTGCAGGGCACAGGGGCGCGCAGGGCGGGGGTCGCAGCTCTGACTCCGGCTCCTGCTTGGGCGCCGGCGCAGCTCTGGGGTCAGCGCACCAGGATGCCCCCCGCCCTCCCGGGAGCAGACCCTCGACGATCCCCCCACCCGTCTCGGCCCCGCAGGCGGCTCTCTTTGATCTGGTCGCCTCCCCGCCTTCAGTCCCCGCCGCTGTCCCCGTCGCAGCCTCCAGCGAATTCCTGCTCGCGGCGCGCTCCAGCCCCGCGGTGCGACTACTGCGGGGTCCTGAGGGTCCGACGCCACCTCCGCCCTCCCCGACTGCTACCCGGACCTGCGGTGCAGAGCGGGCGAGGGAGGGAAGCGCAGCCGGACGGGAGAGAGGCGCGAGTCCTCGCCTGGGATGCAGGGCAGGTGCGCGATGATGCCTCGGGGAAGGTTTGCCTTGTAGGAGGCCTGGTAGTAACTCCCCAGGGTCCTTCCCACTCTACTGCCTCAGGTGGAGATCAGAGGAGAGGCGCGAGTCAACACCTGCCGCCCTGCGCCTAGGGTCCCCGGAATGTCCTCTGAGCACTTTTAAAAACCGCCGGAAAGCCGGTCGGCGGCTCGCGCCTCTAATCCCAGTACATTGAGAGGCCGAGGCGGGAGGATCACTTGAAGTCAGGAGTTGAGACCATCCTGGCCAACCTGGTGAAACCCCATCTCTAGTAAAAATACAAAATAAGCCGGGCATAGCTGCGGGCGCTCGTAATCCCAGCTACACCAGGGGCTGAGGTGGGAGAATCGCTTGAACCTGGAAGGCGGAGGCTGCAGTGAGCCGTGATTGCACCACTGCACTCCAACCTGGGCGACAGAGTGAGACCCTGTCTTAGAAAACAAAACGAAACAAAACAGGAGAAAGTTGAGAATGAGATGTGAGGATAAAGTCCCAGGACAGCCGGGAGTCGGGGTCCCCTAGTTGTATCCTGGGTGAAACAGTGGAACTGCCCACTTCCTCCAGTGGGACCCTCGGTGCAGGGATCCCCACGTAGGCCACGAGGATCAGCAAGATGGCCTGCCTCTGAGCAACAGACACAAAACCTTAGCTTGTGGCAAAGATCAGGAACGCTGAAAGGCAGTGCCAATCTTAGAGCCTGGTTGGACATCTAGGGAAGGTGAACGCAGCGACACGGGGTAGAGGGAGGGGCTGGGACACGTCAGTGAAGATCAGCCACAAGGCATGAGGAACATGCCCACCCAGAGGCCATAGCAGGGCACACAAGGATGACTCAAGTTTCAGAGCAGGGTTGGTGGATCCCCAGAGGTGCTGGAAAGGATGGACAGCAAGTCCAGCTACTGGCGCCAACTGCTGGTCTGGGTGAAGTTAGAGTAAGACTGTGGGGGGACTGTGCGCTTTTCTGGAACTGCTCTGCCTAGGGGCACAGCTGCAGGGTCCTGAATGCTGCATTCACAGGGATGACAACCTAGGTCTGGATTCGACCATGGGGATTGGAATCTTTTTTTTTTTTTTTTTTTTGAGACTGAGTCTTGCTCTGTCGTCAGGCTGAAGTGCAATGATGGGGCAATCTTCACTCACTGCAACCTCCGCCTCCCGGGTTCAAGCGATTCTCCTGCCTCAGCTTCCGGAGCAGCTGGGACTACAGGCGCGTGCCACCATGCCCGGCTGATTTTTGTATTTTTAATGGAGATGGGGTTTCACCATGCTGGCCAGAATGATCTCGAACTCCTGACCTCGTGATCTGCTCGCCTGGGCCTCCAAAAATGCTGGGATTACAGGCCCCCGCCCCCAGCCGGGGATTGGAATTTTTTTTTTTTTTTTTTTTTTTGAGACGGAGTTTCACTCATGTTACCCAGGCTGGAGTGCAATGGCGCGATCTCGGCTCACCGCAGCCTCCGCCTCCTGGGTTCAGGCAATTCTCCTGCCTCAGCCTCCTGAGTAGCTGGGATTACAGGCACGCGCCACCATGCCCAGCTAATTTTTTGTATTTTTAGTAGAGACGGGGTTTCACCATGCTGACCAGGATGGTCTCGATCTGTTGACCTCGTGATCCACCCGCCTCGGCCTCCCAAAGTGCAGGGATTACAGGCTTGAGCCACCGCGCCCGGCCCTATTTATCTTTGAGATGGAGTTTTGCTCTTGTTGTCCAGGCTGGAGTGCAATGGTGCAATCTTGGCTCACTGCAACCTCTGCCTTGTGGGTTCAAGGAATTCTCCTGCCTCAGCATCCCCAGTAGCTGGGATTACTGGCATGCACCACCATCCCTGGCTAATTCTATATTTTTAGTAGAGACAGGTTTTCACCATTTTGGCCAAGCTGGTCTTGAACTCCTGACCTCAGGTGATCTGCCCACCCCGGCATCCCAAAGTGCTGGGATTACAGGAGTAGGCCATTGAGACTGGCCTGGTTTTTTTGTTTGTTTGTTTTAGTACAGACAGAGCTTCAGCATGTTGTCCAGGCTGGTCTCTAACTTCTGACCTCAGGTGACCCCCCCCAAATCTCACCCTCCCAAAGCACTGGGATTATAGGTGTGAGCCACTGCACCTGGCCTATCTTCCTATCTTATTATTATTATTTTTTGAGATGGAGTGTTTTGCTCTTGTCACCCAAGCTGGAATGCAATGGCATAATCTTGGCTCACTGCAACCTCCGCATCCCAGGTTCAAGTTACTCTCCTGCCTCAGCCTCTCGAGTAGCTGAGATTACAGATGCTTATCACCACACCTGGCTAATTTTTGTATTTTTAGTAGAGACAGGGTTTCACCATGTTGGCCAGGCTGGTCTTGAACTCCGGACTTCAGGTGATCCCTCCCACCTTGGCCCCCCAAAGTGCTGGGATTACAGGCTTGAGCCACCACCGGCCGGCCTTTCCTTTTTAAGATAACCTTCACTGAGGCATAATTTACGTATAATAAAACACACCTATTTTAATTGTACGATTCTGTTTTCATGAATGTGTGCATCTGTGTAACCACCATCGCAATATGATGTAGAATCTTCCCATCTTCCAATTTCCTTCTGTGCACTGCTGAAAAACTTGTGCTTCGATGGAAAACTGCATCGTGCACGTAGCATACATCCTTCCAGGGTATTTGATTCTAGTCTTTCATTGCCTTTGAGCTACTGCTCTGTAGGTTGTAGGTAACTGGTAGCAAAACAAAATTCTTGTCCAAAGAAATGCACACTCTGTCCTGCCCTGTACAAGTTCAACTGAGTTTCTTCTCCCAGTGTGGAAGAAACGAGTTTGCCTTCATTTGAACATTCATCTCAATATCCCTGATTTACAAATGTTGGTTTTTCAATATCTCCTTTGAACTGGTTTTAATGCCCTTACCAGTTTCCTCATTAATAAGTAAAATCTTTAACACGTGTTCATTTTATGTCCATGAGACATGACTGCATGCTTATTTTATTTTTTTGAGACAGGCTCTCACCCTGCCACCCACGCTGGCGTGCAGTGGTGCAGTCTCAGCTCACTACAACCTCTAACTCCAGGGTTCAAGCGATTCTCCTGTCTCAGCCTCCCAAGTAGCTGGGACTACAGACACACGTCACCACACCCAGCTAATTTCTATATTTTTAGTAGATTTTACCATATTGGTCAGGCTGATCTTGAACTCCTGATCTCAGGTCATGAGCCCATCTCGGCCTCCCAAACTGTTGGGATTCCAGGCGTGAGCCACCACGCCGAGCTGACTTTATGCTTTTTGGAAAATTTCATATTCATAGTTCTTTTGTATAGTTAATCTCTACCTCCTTCCCTTGGCTCCTGGCAACCACTGATCTTGCAGTTACCATAGAATAGTTTTGCCTTGGCGGGCCCAGGTGGGCTCCCGAGCGCGAGTCGGTCTTGGTCCTTGCAGTGCAATTAGTTTAAACTTAAAAAAAAAGAAAGAAAAGCCGGGCGCGGTGGCTCACGCCTGTAATCCCAGCACTGTCGGAGGCCGAGGCGGGTGGATCACGAGGTCAAGAGATCGAGACCATCCTGGTCAACATGGTGAAACCCCGTCTCTACCAAAAATACAAAAAATTAGCTGGGCATGGTGGCACGTGCCTGTAATCCCAGCTACTCAGGAGGCTGAGGCAGGAGAATTGCCTGAACCCGGGAGGCGGAGGTTGCGGTGAGCCGAGATCGCGCCATTGCCCTCCAGCCTGGGTAACAAGAGCGAAACTCCGTCTCAAAAAAAAAAAAAAAAGAAAGAAAGAAAAAATAGTTTGCTTTTCTAGAATTTCATATCAATGGAATAATATTTACCTATTCATTCCTTTGGCTTCTTTCTCTCAGCATTTCTTTCCCCTGCACATCACATGCACTACCATCAGCAGGAGGCTGAGATTCACCCACCTTGTAGGTATCAGTCATTTGTCCCTTTTCATTGCTGAGTAATACTGCATTATATGCACGTATTGCTATGTGTATATCCATTCACCATTATGGGTTTTGGATTGTTTCTGGTTATGAATAGTGGCCATATTCAAGTGTAAGTCCCGATGCACACATGCTTTCATTTGTCTTAAGTATCTATAAGTGGGCTGGGTATGGTGGCTCATGCCTGCAATCCCAGCACTTTGGGAGGCTGAGGTCTGCAGATCGCTTGAGCCTGGGAGTTGGAGAACAGCTTGGCGAACAGGGGGAAACCCTGTCTCTCCCCAAAATACAAAAATTAGCCAGTCTCATAACCCAGTCTCAAACTAAATAGATAAAAATTTTTAAATCAGATAAAAAATTTAGATTTATGTATGAGTGGAACTGCTGTCTGAAACCTCCAAATTACTTTTCTGAAGTGAATGTACCATTTGCATTTTCTCAAGTGGATGTACTATTTGCATTCCCACCAGCAACCCATGAGAGATCCAGTTGCTCCACAC